AGCATGTGTGCCCCCAGCGTGATGAGTCGCTCGGGGTTCATTCACTAGGTCCAAGTGTTCTTTGACCGGAACTTTACCTCGATCTTCGTGTGAAGGACCAAGGCAGCCCGCCATTATCATCTTAAATCGAGAGAGATCCACACTTCTGTGGGACTTTACTAGAGGTACAGGATCAACTGGGGTAGGAGCGGAACTCGACAGAAGTGGAGAAATAATCGCGAGAGCAGACCTGGCTCGGCTCCGGCGCGGGTCACCTTGCGGTGATATGTGTTTTTTGGTCTTCTCGACCACTGTTTTGGACTTGGGCCTCCATACTTGGCGTGGTTTTGGTGGTTTTTGGCCACCTCTTCCTTTTGCAATTTCTGTGCCTCTTGCACAAGAATTCGTGTATGTGCGAGTAGTGCATGATGCTTCTGAATACACTCCTCGAGAGTCGAACGGGTCCTTTTGACGTGGACCTATTCATCGTTTGATGGTTTGGATGAAGAGCCATTTGCTCGCTGCTGAGGCCCTTAGCGTTTCCTGAATTCCAGATCCACTTTATAACGAATCCCGTCAACCGGCTCTAATGCCTTGGCTAGTTGAAGCACGAGGCATTGGCGTTGCCTTTTATGGGCCCTCTTTGACAGAATCGGCTTGCCTTTAGCACTTAACTCCGTGATTGAGGAGGAGTTCAAATCTGCAGATCCGGCTTCATTGGACGCTGGAGGGGCGTTGCAAGGCGCAACTGCAGTAACAATGGGACAATGATCATCGCCTTGGGTCTTTAGAACTGAAGACCAGCGGACCTTCCTGGAGGAGGAGATCTTTATGCACTTGCGAGGGGAGGAGGATATGGAAGAAGACAACAGATATTCCTCGTACTTCTGTTGGTCGAACTCGTACTCGACCTCTGTATCAACCAGGATTAGGATCCTTGGTTGTGATACTACAGCCTCGACAGAGAGTTTGTTGGCTCCCACTGTGGTCACCAGTATATTTGCGTCGAAAGTTGGTTTCTTCATTGCAGAACTCATTACAACTTCAGTCGTTTCAATAAGTTCAAAAGGAAGGACTTTTATAAGACTCCTTACACAATGAAATTAAAAAAAGATTACAACTTTCTTTAAAACACACGCGGATGACGTTTATCACCCGCTGCTTGCGTAGGGTCTTTGTCTATGCCAGGGTTTATCCGTGGACCACCACTGATCAGATCCGGTTGATCAGAAGGCTAAATGTTCATTGCTTGATAAAGGAAATAAGAACATAAGTAAATAATCTCAACCAAGTGAGATCACTACTCTTCTCGAGATCAGTACAAATTCTGATCTCAAGGAATGGTAGAATGGGCCTCAGATCTCTCGAAACGCTCATTCTATTTGCTGGAGTTTGCCAAAATCTACTAGCCCTCCTCTGAAATTCGTGGGATTCACTCTCTAAATAGACAATACCTCACACTCCTTTCAGAATTTTAGATCCCCTGCATATAAGACCCTAGGCTTGTATTTATAGGCTTCAGTTACAGTGTTTTTAGATAAGAACAAGTGATTTAACCTCATTTTCTATTAATAATAACCTAACCACATTTAGGGATGATATCCAAGCAGTTGGGAGGCTCTGGAACAAACAAATCCCAAGAAAACATCGAAATACACGTTTTCGAGAACCGGGGTGCGAGTCAGTTCAATGTGACCCGTGGGTGTACGAGTCACATTAAGGTGATCCGCACGAGTGCGGGTCATATTAACATGACCTGCATGATTGCGGGTCACATTAATGTGACCCGCAAGGGTGCCGCAAGGGTAAGGGTCACATCAACGTGACCCGCACGGGTGAGGGTCACATTGGTCATTTTGATATAACTTGCACACCGGCGGGTCGCTTTGATGCGATTTCCAAGTGACTATGTCTTGTTTTGTTCTTGTTCCATTGTTTTACGGATTTGTACATTTCACCGACTCGCTTTATACGTTTCGTCATTTTGTCTTAGCATTGGATAATCTCATGATGCCTTTGTTTCGTTTTGAACTACGTGTGGGGACCTATAGATAAATTTTGACGCCTACAACTATATTATGTTATAATTATATGTTGATGACATGTTAGTTATATGATCGTATTTAGAAGAGATAAACAAATTGAAGAAGCAGTTGGCGAATGAGTTTGCTATGAAGGATCTGGGTGTAGGCAAGCAAATTCTTGGGATGCGAATAAGTAGGGATAAAGCTGAAGGGACGTTGAAGTTGAGTCAAGTTGAATACATCGAGAATGTACTTCAGAGATTCAATATGGAGAATGCTAAGCCCGTCGGCATGCCCCTTGGAAGTCAATTCAAGCTATCTGATAAGCAATCACCCAAGACAGATGCAGAGAAGGAGCACAAGAGTAGAGTGCCATATTCATCAGCTATTGGTAGTCTTATGTATGTGATGATTTGCACGAGGCCGGATATTACCAATGCAGTAGGAGTTATGAGCAGGTTTGCAAGTAATCTAGAAAAACAGTATTAGGAGGCCATAAAGTGGATACTGCGTTACTTGAGAGGGACTACGTATATGCCGCTATGTTTCAAGAGGGAGGAATTGGAACTGCGGGGGTACGTGGATGTAGATTTCGCCGGTGATCACGATATGAGGAGAAGCACCATAGGGTATGTTTATACTTTGGCATCGACTGTAGTGAGCTGGGTCTCACGTCTGCAGAAGATAGTAACACTGTCCACAACTAAGGCAGAGTATGTCACATTGACTGAATCCAGCAAGGAGATGATTTGGTTGACCAGGTGCCTGAAAGAGTTGGGTTTGAAGCAGAGGAACAACGTTCTTTTGTGATAGCCAGTTTGGGTTTGAAGCAGAGGAACAACGTTCTTTTGTGATAGCCAATGCTATATACCTTGTCAAGAATCCAGTATATCATGCCAGAACAAAACACATCGACGTACGTTACCACTTCATACGCTCGTAGATTGAGGACGATAAGTTACGACTGGAGAAGATTTTAGGGAGCTAAAACCCTACAGATATATTGATGAAAGCATTGACTATCGATAAACTGAAGTTGTGCGCAAATTCAGTTGGCCTTCACGCATAGGAGATGAAGGCGGAGCCACACTAGGAGGATTCGACGGGATCGCCAAGATGATGATAATTGAAGAATGGATTTATCTGGGTAGGAGAAGATGCTTGCGAAGATGGCAGGAGTTCGGGAGAGCTCGTTGATGGCGGTTTCGTCTCCAAGTGGGAGATTGTTGGTTTTGGGAGTGTGAAGACCGAAACCTGAAACAAATCTGAGAGTTTGAAAAATCTCGGGTCGGTTGACCGAAGGAGTGACCCTGATCGACCGTGACGCCTGCAGGAAACGAGCGTGAAAAGTTCGCTCTAGCCGATCGACTGATAGGGATGGTCTGGTCGACCGAAAAACCTGTAGGAATCTAAGCCCAGAATCGAGCTCTGGCCGGTCGACCGACACAATGACTCTGGTCGACCGAAAACGTGCACAAAGACCCTGTAAGAAACTGACGTTCTGTTCGTTCGACCGACACCCATGGTCCGGTCGACCAAAATTGGTTTTACTAGTTTCCTAAATTGTTTGGATTCTGTTTTGGGCTGGGTTTATATATATATCCTAATACATTTTTAGGGGAATAAGAACACAAAACATAAAGGGTTTTGACGGCTATTTGAGAGAGATATCTCAGAGAGATAAAAACCTATTTGTGGGCATTGTAATCTTCTTCAATTAATCAAAGAATTGTGTGGTGTGGCTCCCGAGAATGTAGACACGTTTGCCGAACCTCGTTAAATCTGGTGTGTTTCTTCTTGTTTATCTTTCCTGTAATTTTTTCTTTTATTTGCGGTGATTTTCCTACTTGTTAAACTCTTAGTATAAGATCCGGAAGGGTTCGAATCCCAACACAAACTTTAGTTTTTGATAGCAAAACAAGCTTGGCGCTACTTGCAAGGGACGATGAAGGTTGGGATAAAATATATGAAAAAAGAATGTTGCAAACTTATTGGCTTTACTGACAGCGATTTGGCTGGCGATCTTAATGAGAGAGGAAGCACATCTGGTTACATGTTTTGCTTTGGAACAAAGCCGATATCATGGAGTTCAAGAAAGTAAGGATGTGTTACTCTATCTGATCAGCTGAAACTGAATACACATCAGCAAATGAAGATGTTTGTGAAGCAATCTAGTTGGGGCGAATTCTATCAAATTTGCAGCAAGATACAACTGAACCAACTACCATCTTTTGCGATAATACGTCAGCCATTGCTATGACCAAGAACACCATTTTCCACCCAAGATCAAAGCATCTAGAGCTACGTCATCATCTTATCCGAGACATGGTAAACAAGAAGGAAGTTGTACTGGAGTTTATTGGAAACAAATGATCAAACAGCTGACGTTCTCACTAAAGCGGTTAAATTTGAGAAACTATAGCAGCTCAAGGAGTTCGTGAAAATTACAAATTAAGCGGGAGTGTTGATAGTTAATTTGTAATTTTCGAAAGTAGCTATTCACTGCATTGAACGTTTTCTTGAGAGCTATTGTGCTTTTCGCACTCTCCTACGTTTAGGGAAACTTGTTCTAGATAAAATGCCTTTTTAGAATGGTCTTTTTCATAAAGTTCATTTACAGCTGAAAGTTAAAATTAAAAAAAAAAGAAAAAAATTAAAAAAATGGGAAAAATGAAAATTGCAGGAGCTGTAGTTCTGTCATTCACTTAAAAGCTAATTCTCTCATCCTATCATACAATTCCTACTCTGTTTTGTTCTTCCAAACACTTCCACACACATTTGCCCTCGCTTGAATCCAACAGGATCAAGGCTACGATAACTAATAATCCATTTATTGCAAAAAACCTTGTATAGCGCTCGTCACCAAACTCCACTATCCTCTGCAGGCTACGTACTAAAAGTAAATTGTGTAGTCCTCCTCGATCTCTTACCACCCTCCCTCTCTATAATTACCGCCAACCCCCATTACACCAACCCATCCCACCTCCATTATTCTACCTTTGCTTTTAAACAAATCCTCAAATTAAGCCGCTTTCTCCCATATGATAAAAATACCCTCCATATCGATGCTCCCTCTGTCGTTCCAGTACCGGCCACGTGTTGCGATGCCGTCGATTTCGCTATCCCTCCTCTTCCTTCTGACGCGGTTCGCCGCCACCGCCACCAGCTCCGAGTCAACGTCAGCAGCATGCAAAGTACTGCGTGCTACCCCAAGCTCTGCCGCGCCCTCCTCTCCCCTCGAAATTACCGTCCCGCCCTACGACTACGGCCGCTACTCGGTTAAGCAGGCGTTAAAGCAGCGCCAAGCGCAGCGGCCAAGATCATCGGCAGCTACCTCACCAAAGGCCGCGACACCGACGCGGGTCCAACGTTCGCAGTGGGCGCCCTTGACGACTGCCGCCAGCTGGCGGCGGCCTGAATGCTGACTTCCTGATCGCGGTTCAGGCTGAGCTTGCCCCCGCGACGTGGTGCTGGACCGGCCCGGCTTGACCGGGGTGAAGGCGCTGATGAGCGCGGTGGTGACGAACCAGCAGACTTGCTTCGTATGGGCTGGAAGCTTCTAGAAGCTTCCCGGAGCTGTATGGAGTGTTCGAGAATGGAACAAAGATGTACGGGTTTCTCTGGAGCTGGTGACGTCAGCGGTCGACCGGAACGGTGGGGGACGGTCGGACCGGCGGCTCAGTTTCAGGTTAGCAATTAATTAAATTAAACTGCTGATGGAATCTCGCACGTAAGTATGCTCTAATTTTGGTTTTTGCAGAGTGATGTACATTTGTTACGGGTGGGTAGTTAAAAGTTCTCGTCTTGGTTTTGCTTGAACGAGGAAAGGATTTCCTGTTATCTGTTGTTTCAGGAGTTGAAATAATTAAAGCAGGTTCTTATTTATTTTTCCTTAGAAAACATTCCTCATCTAGATATAGGCAATGAACTAAATGAGTTGATATAGCACATGGCATGTCCAAACTGAAATTACATTACGAGCCTTTGAAACTTTGATTGAGTTGAGAGATCACCAAACACATGTTTTCTTATAAGTGCACTTAATTAGAAGATTCAATTTGATTATAAATAAAAGATTTTGGCAGGTCGTGCTTCTAAAAGAATTTAAGTTTAATATATATTTGATTTGTTAAAGTCGTACCACTAAGGAGCTAGGACTTTTAAGAAGTTGTAAGTGACGATTGAAATTAATTTGACCGTAACGCTACTTATAGATTGCGCGCACCGTCATAAATTAAAAAAAGAATTGAAGTATAACCAGTTGAACATCGTATTTACACTGCATGCATCAACATATTTCGAAAAGCTGATCAAAAACTCGCATTTCCCTAATATGCAAATACACTAGTTTATAAAAGGTATAGTAGAAATAAAATTTGGCATTGCCCTAATATTATACAAATACATTGGAGCCTGGACATTTTTGACTAGGAATCTGTACGTACTGGGTCCGACAAAGAGTTGAGAATTCTCGCTCTCCTTTTAATGCGAGAATTACACGTGTCCATCTATTACGTTACCCATCCACGTGACCCGATACGGCGTACTTGCGAGGACCGAGCTTCTGTGCATTTTTCACGAAAACCCTCCCACACAATACCCCAAATTGCAAGCGAGCATGCTCTCTGTATCAAATGCAAAACTTAATACGTACAATTAACAAATCTTCTTTAAGCAGACTTCCAAGGTCCAGCAAAATTCGGACGCAACCTTCTAGAAGGAAACGCCAGCGTCGTTCCGTTGAGCCAGCCGGTGATCGTCGTAGCACGCGATGGAACGGGAAACTTCACGACGATCAACGACGCAGTTGCCTTCGTGCCAAATGGAACTTCGAGCGACGATGGTTACATAGCCATTTTCATCAGGCCCGGTGTCTACGAGGAGAATGTCATTGTGGCGAAGAGTAAGAGGAACTTGATCATGATCGGTGCCGGTATCGATCAGACTGTGATTACGGGAAATCGGAGCGTGTTTGATGGATGGACGACATATAATTCAGCCACTTTTGGTAAGTTACTATTACGCCATATGTTAGCAAGTATATTATTAAGCCATATGTTGGTGTTCAATAAAATATAGAATCGATTATAACCAAGTATTTACCCCCAACAATTAACTATCTATTTGTTAATTATTTGATTTGTTTCCACCCTAGGTAGAAACATATAGCTAGCTAGGAAGAATGTTTCACTTGCGTACGTGTTAATCGAATTTGATGCGTGCACTAGGCTAGCATAAAGATTTTCTTCTAATGGTCGGTTTGGCTGCTACAAATAATGAAGTTAATAGTGCTTTATATTCATCTAGCTTCCTACATCAGTTTTTGAATATAAGGCGCACGTACCTACATGCATATGTATATAAATATGATGTCAAGGGATATCATATGTCACGTAAGAGGACAATCTGCATGTACAATATTAATGTTGTTCAATCTCAATCAAGTGTGGCATGCATTATGCCGGTTTCTCTCTCTCCCTTTAGCCTGGTTGAGATTTGAGACGCATCATTATTGTCTATAAGAGAATCTCCCCATATGACAAAGATGCTCATTATCCTCATACGTGAGAGAGACAATGAGAGAAGTAGAATCATTTTGATCTTGAATGCCGATGCATGCAGCAGTTCATGGGGAGAGATTCATAGCCATAAACATTACCTTTGAGAACACAGCTGGACCAGAGAAACACCAGGCAGTGGCCCTCCGCAATAGCGCAGACCTCTCCAGCTTTTACCGATGCAAGTTTGTTGGTTACCAGGACACCCTCTATGCCCATTCCCTCCGGCAGTTCTATCGTGATTGTGAAATCAAAGGCACCGTCGACTTCATCTTCGGCAATGCCGCCTCTGTCTTCCAGCATTGCACCATCATCGCCCGCAAACCCCTCCCCAACCAGTTCATCGCCATCACTGCTCAGGGTCGAGCTCATCCCAACCAGACTACAGGGATCTCCATCCACAACTGCACCATATTGGCTGAGTCTGAGCTGAACGATTTAAAATCAAGCACCAAGTCTTATTTGGGGAGGCCGTGGAAGGAGTACTCGAGGACCGTCTATATGCAGTCATATATCAACGGATTCATCGATCCCAAGGGATGGATCGAGTGGAACGGGACAGAGTTTGCATTAGGCACACTGTTTTACGGTGAGTTTGACAACTATGGGCCAGGCTCAGATACGAGTGGGAGAGTGCAGTGGACGGGGTATACTAAGATGAATAAGACGCAAGCGGCTGAATTTACTGTGGCTAATTTTACTGCTGGGGATGCCTGGTTGCCTGCAATTCCCTACGATCAGGGTCTGCTTTAGACTTCTAAGCCGTAGTTGATTGTTACAAATAGCTACCTAGATTTCCACTGATGATACGAGATTCAAGTGCTGTTGATAACTGAAACATGCTCCTGTTATTTAGAATTCATCATATAGAACTTTTGATAATTAAGGTAGAAAGTTGAGATTTCCTTGGGTTTTTCTTTTATTCTTTAGCACCAACCCACTATAACTAATTATAATTATGGTAACAAATAATTGGAGAATTTGATCAGTTTCTTGTTGACATAGTTTCACTAATCCAAGAAAATAATAACTGTAATTTGGTATGCTTTCATATTAATAGATGTGCAGGAACCTTTAAGAGCGAGAGAGGATTGGGAAGCATGATAATTTTGCACGGTGCGGCCGTGATGGAATTTGAAGAATGCAACCCTCTACACAAAGAAAACTTTTATTGATAGAATAGAGAATACAATACTTGTTCTTACAAGAACACCTCACTTTCACACAACTCCTTTATTTTGGTGGACACTCACACAAGGCTACACTACACACTCAAGCTCTCAAGCTCACTTCTTGCTTGCTTGCTTGCTTGCCCAAATGAGAGCACAAGACCCCTATTTATAGTTGTTTAAGAGAGCTAGGAAGTGTGTAGAAGAGTTAATCCTAGCCATACATTACTAAGAAGTTTTTAGAAGAATAAATACTAGCCATACACTTGTATCTTCCTAGAAACTTCATGGTAGATATTTTGTAGGATGTTACTAGAAAGAAGTTTTAGAATAATCTAAGTTGGTGAGGAATTCTAATACTCCCCCTCATCACCAACTTTTATTTCTCACAAGTCCAAGCTTCTTCTTAAGCTTAAAAAATGTCTCTGTCTTTAGTGGCTTTGTGAAGATGTCAGCGATTTGGTCTTCAGACTTGCAATATGTCAGCATCACAGTCTTCTTTTTAACTTGATGCCGGATGAAATGATATCTTGTCTCTATGTGTTTTCTTCGTCCGTGTGCTACCGGATTTTTGGCAAGTGCAATAGCTGACTTGTTATCGATGAGGATCTCTGTTGGTGTTTCCTGTTGGTGTTGCAGTTCCTCCATCAGACTCCTGAGCCATATTGCTTGACACGCACATGCTGAAGCTGCTATGTATTCTGCTTTGCAACTTGATAGAGCGATGACAGACTGCTTCTTTGATGACCATGAGAATGCTGTTGATCCGATATTGAACATGTAGCCAGATGTGCTCTTTCTTTCATCTAAATCTCCACCATAATCGTTGTCGGTGTAGCCGACTAATCTCGAATCTGTACACTGTGTATAAAATAATCCTTGATCAATACTTCCTCGGACATACCTGAGAATTCTCTTGGCTACCTTGAAATGCTCCTGCCTTGGCTCCTCCATATATCTGCTCACCAGTCCTATCGCGAACACTATGTCGGGCCTGGTGATGGTTAGGTAGCGCAAGCTCCCGACTAAACTCTTGTATAGAGTTGGATCAATATAGCTTCCTGGTGTGTCTCGCCTCAGCTTCACTCCGACTTCTACAGGAGTTGTGACTGGATTGTAGTTACTCATGTTGAACTTCTGAAGGATCTCCTTTGCATACTTTTTCTGAGAGATGAAGATTCCTTTCTCTGATTGCGACACTTCTACTCCAAGAAAGTATGACATTTCTCCAATGTCAGTCATCTCGAACTCCTTGATCATGTTCTTCTTGAACTCCTCGAACATTTTTGGATTGTTGCCGGTGAAGATCATGTCATCCACGTAGAGACATACGATCATAATGTCTCCATCCTTCTTCTTGGTATAGAGAGAGCGCTCATACGGACTCTGCTGGAATCCATTCTTCTGGAAGTATGCATCGATTCTGGCATTCCATGCTCTGGGTGCTTGCTTCAGTCCATACAATGCCTTCTTCAGCTTGTAGACCTTGTCTTCTTGATTCTTCATCACGTACCCAGGTGGTTGTTCGATGTAGACTTCTTCTTCTAGATAGCCATTAAGAAAGGCTGACTTCACATCCATCTGATAGATCTTCCACTGGTTCTGTGCTGCCAATGCGATAATGAGTCGAATGGTGTCGATCCTCGCGACTGGTGCGAATACTTCTTCATAGTCAACTCCTGCTCGCTGACTATAGCCCTTTGCAACAAGCCTGGCCTTGTACTTCTCGATTCCACCGTCTTGATTTGTCTTTATCTTGTACACCCACTTTACTCCAATGTGTTTATGGCCTTGAGGTAAGGTGGTGAGCTCCCATGTGTCATTTCTCTTGATTGCCTCAATCTCATCATCCATGGCTTTTATCCACTTGTCTTCTTGAGCAGCTTCTTCATAGCTGACCGGATCACATTCTGCAAACAAGCAGAATAGTGTGTAGTCATTTATCATCTCGACAGGTTCTATATCGTCGTACAGATCTCTTAGACTTCTCATCCTCCTTGTTGCTCCCCCTAAAGAGCTTCCTTCACTTGAGCTGGATGGTGATGATGTCGGCGTCGATGTTGAGGTTGATGGAGCTGGACTATTTGGTGGACTTTGTTCTGGTCTTCCAACCTCCTGCAAGTCATCATCATTATCTTCAAAGAACATACCTTTAATGTTTTTGTCTTCATCGGTCCATTTCCAATAATCTTCTTCATCGAACTCCACGTCTCTTGAAATGATCATCTTCTTTGTAATTGGATTGTAGAGCTTGTATGCTTTTGTCCTCCTCTCGTACCCAATGAATATGTACTTTTCTCCTCGATCGTCCAACTTCTTTCTTTTCTGCTCCGGGATGTGTGCATATGCAATACACCCAAACACCTTCAGGTGATTGGCGCTTGGCTTGATGTTGCTCCACATCTCCAATGGTGTCTTGAACTTGACACTCTTCGTTGGACATCGGTTGAGAAGGTAAACTACACAGTCTACGGCTTCAGCCCAGTAAGTCTTTGGCAGGTACTTGCTCTTCAACATGCTTCTGACCATATTAAGAATGGTACGGTTCTTCCGCTCTGCTATTCCATTCTGCTGTGGTGTATAGGCGGCAGTGAGTTGATGAATTATCCCGTACTGCTTGTTGAAATTATTGAATGCCTTTGAAGTGTATTCTCCACCTCGATCTGATCGGAGCACCTTGATGTGGTACCCACTTTGCTTTTCTACCATCTCCTTGAATCTTTGAATTTCTCCAGAGCTTCGAATTTCTCCTTCAAGAAATAAACCCATGTTTTTCTGCTATAATCATCAATAAATGTGAGAAAATACTTGTTTCCTCCAAGAGAGACGACTTCAAATGGTCCTGCAATATCTGTGTGGACCAATTGTAGCAGCTCTGTTGCTCTTCTTGATGTTGTTTGTCCTTCATACAGCCTTCACATAGCTGGTTCGGATGGTTGATTTGCGGCAATCCTTTCATCATTTTCTCCTTCCATAGAAGATTCAGGCCACTGAAAGCGAGATGCCCGAATCGTAGATGCCAGAGCCAAGTCTCGTCTTTTATGATTGTCTTCAGGCACTTGATAGAGTCAGCATGAATATTTAAGGTAAATAGTTTATTTCTAGACATGTTCACCTTTGCAATAACTTCATTTTTGTTTTTAATAGTGAGGGAAAGGTCTTTTAGATGTATATCATAGCCTCTTTCAAGGAGCTGGCCTAGGCTCAAAATATTATTTCGTAATGCTGGAACATAGTAGACATCAGAGATGTACCTGTTCTCGCCCGTCTTTGTCTGGATCATTATATTGCCCTTGCCTTTCACTGGAATCTTTGACTGATCTCCAAAGCTGACATCTCCTTGTACCGTCTCGTTCAGCTCGGTAAAGAACTCCTTGATGCCGCACATGTGGTTACTGGCACCTGAATCTAGATACCAGATATCTTTATTCTTGCTTTCGCTCTCCTGGTATGTCAGCAGGACTGTTGAAGTGTCTGCATGCTCCCTTTCCAAAAGAAGTAAGCTTGAAAGCTTGAGTGTGTAGTGTAGGCTTGTGTGAGTGTTCACCAAAATAAAAAAGTTGTGTGAAAGTGAGGTGCTCTTGTAAGAGCAAGTATTGTACTCCCTAGTGTTCTATTAATAAAAGTTTCCTTTGTGTAGAGGGTTGTGTTCTTCAAATTCCATCAAAGTGGTATCAGAGCAAGGTTCGATCTAGCCGGACCAATCGAAGGTGCTCGTGTACGAGATGGCGAACATGATCCAGCCACAGATTCCGAAGCTGATGAAGACAAATTACGACAACTAGAGTATCCAGATGAAAGTCTTGCTCGGCTCGCAAGACTTGTGGGAGCTCGTGGAGAATGGCTACACTGAACCAGAGTCACTTGCAGCAGAAGCAACTCTCACCACCACACAGAAGAGTGAGCTGAAGGAGGTCAGAAAAAGAGACAAAAAAGCTTTGTTCCTAATATTCCAAGGCGTAGATGAATCAGCGTTTGAGAAGATTTCCAACGCCCTGTCCTCTAAAGAAGCATGAGAGATTTTACAAAAATCCTATTAAGGTGCGGAAAGAGCCAAAAAGGTACGCCTCCAAGCATTAAGAGTTGAATTTGAAAATTTGAAGATGAAAGCTACAGAATCAATATCGGACTATTTTAGTAGAGTTCAGACAATAACTAATCAAATGAAGAGAAATGGAGAAGCAATTAGTGATGTAAGAATTATGGAGAAGATACTTAGGACTTTAGACTCTAAATTCAAATATATTATTCCGGCAATACAAGAGTCTAAAGACCTTTTCGAAGTTTCGATTGATGAGCTGCAAGGTTCTCTGCAATCTTATGAACAAGATATAAACATTAGTTCAAATCAAGCGGAGAATCTAGAGCAAGCCTTGCAGAGTAAGATGACTATCAAAGAAGATAGTCGAAGAGGACGTGGAGGCTACAGAGGCAAAGGCTCCTTTCAAGGTGGCTCAAACTTCCAGCAAGGTCGTAGGAGACAGTACCAAGGAGGCCATGAAAATCAAGATCGAAATAGAGATCGTGAACGATCATTCGATCGAGGACGAGGTCGTGACACACGAGGACGAGGAAAAGGAAGAAGTTACCATGAGGACAGATCTCAACCACAGTGTTACAAATATAAGAGATACGGTCATCTCAGCTACGAATGTTGGGAGAAATCAAATCAAGCAAGCAAGAAGTAAGCTTGAAAGCTTGAGTGTGTAGTGTAGGCTTGTGTGA